CACACACACACACACACACACACACACACACACACACACACACACACACACACACACAAACACACAAAGAGAGAGAGAATCACATACATAAACAGTCGTGAAGCAGCACTGTAAGAACAACACGGTTTCAAGTCCACTGTTGCTTTTACCATTTGTGCTGAGTATTTGTTTTGGCAGATGAGCTAAAGGCTCAGAGCTTTCATGTCTTGTGGTCCACAGTGTTTGTTTCACTGTACGAGGCTGGAACAGCAGGCCTACAGCCACAGTGATTTGGCAGATTGGAAAACACAAACATTTATTTGAACAGAGCCGAGGTGGAGGAGTGATCTCAGTGGATGAATTACACATCAAGGCTAAGAAACGGCACATTTTCATTTTAGCAGATGAAAGCCAAACAAAATCGAACAAAAAGTAAGAGACGATATGTCAGGAACCCTAATTGTACCACTGGTCAGTGATTAAATAAAGACAAACAATGTAACCAAAGTAGGCTTGGTAGCTTTCTGACAAACATAATGGCAAACCAGCTTGTTACCGTGTCTTTCACTGATGATTAAATCCAAAACATAAAAATAAATGACATTATTTTATTCCAATTAGAAAACCTTCTTTGTATCTTTGGTGGTAAGAGTTGATGCACAACATTTTGTTTAATTTTACCAGTGGTGTTCCGATACCGACTGGGCCAGATACCAGCATCTTTTACAACTACTTGCTCAAAATTCCCCAATACCACTTTTTTTCTTTATTGCGTAGACATACACATTTTAAACGCGACTTCCAGTGCGAACGCTTCATGCCGTCGATGTGACCCAAAGATGACGTGACGACACATTCAGCTCGCTACCCATGGATGCTYCATYTTAGCATGTTGATTATAAAGTTGTGCAATCAGAGCAGATTAAATAATTATCTGACATGCTTGTTTAGTTCAGGGTTTAAATTTTATTCTGCCTCAGACCGGCTGCTCTGATGCAGCGTGTATTTATGGAACAAAAGRGACATGCTCAAAGTAAAACTAACTAAAGTATTGACGACGTTATTTTCAGATMTTTTCTGTGGATTCTCAGTCATCCAGGACATGGAAAATTAAAAGAAAAAAAAAGAAGCAACTGGAGTTCTGTTCTGTTCTGTAGCTGAAGATGTGTGGAGTTACAAGAAATAAACAGCATGACTCGCGMTTAGTATCATTATTAATACTTGGATCGATCCGTAAACTCCCAACTCACTGATGGAAAAGTTAGATAAAATGCAACATGAGAATTCAGACAAACATCAGATCTGATTTAGTACCAGGTTGTAAATAAAGACATGTGTAATGTTTAAGTTCTAACTCGGTAAGCTAACTGAGCGGCATGACYGCTCAGTGGTTAGCACCAACGCTTCACAGTAAGAAGGTCCTGGGTTCGAACCCCGGTTCGGACCACGTGCTTGCGTGGGTTTTCTCCAGGTACTCTGGTTTCCCCCACCCCCTCAAAAACATGAATAATAGGTTGCCTTCAGGCCCAGGCCTCCCTTGGAAAAAAGATCTGAGATCTCAACGGGACTTGCTTGGTTAAATAATGGTAAAAATAAAAAAAAGTACTCTGTACTGGCTAGTACCCCAAGTACTTGTACTCTGTTAGAGAAAAACTGGAAATGGGACACCCCAGATTTTAATGGTACCTTATTAAGTAGGGGCGGCTGTGGTAGAGTGATTAGGGGAGTCGTCCTGGAACTGGAAGGTCGCCGGTTCGATCTCCGTCCAGTCGACTCAGTCGTTGTGTCCTTGGGCAAGACACCTTACCCGCCTTGCCTACAGATGGTGGTCAGAGGGTCCGGTGGCGCCTGTGTATGGCAGCCTCYCCTCTGTCAGTGTGCCCCAGGACAGCTGTGGCTACAATTGTAGTTTGCCATCATCAGTGTGTGAATGTGTGTGAATGGGTGAATGTCTGTAGTGTGAAGCGCTTTGAGTGTCCTGGATGGATAGAAAGGCACTATACAGTATAAGTACAGTCCATTTACCATTTTAGTAAATTTTTGTTAGATTATCATCTCCCCGTCTTTAAAAGTCAGTGCACTGGGACTGACGTGCAAAAACAACCGTCTCAGCTGAAACCGGGTCCATCAAATTAGGAGTTATCTGCCACATTTTCACCTCATCTTCTCCACACACACAGTTCTAGTTTTTACTCCCAGTTGCCTCACTGCTGCAATTAAGGCTGGTTTCAGTCACACATGGACCATAATGAATCACTTTCAGGAGGTGCCCCGAATCCCTGTAACAGGTGGGTCCAAGCTTTAGACAAAAGTGGGGAGAAGAGAAAAAAAAAGGGGGGGAACAACTTCTTCATTGACCTCATGCCACGATAGAAGTCCAGTGCTGACACTATTATTTCTCTAAGCACATTTTAGATAAATTGGTGAAAAGTATTCACTTCTCTGGTGCGTTTATTTGACTTCCTCTCCACTGAGACCAAAGAACCTGGTGCGCTTCTTCCCCTCAGGAAAGAGAGGCTTTCTTATTTGAAATTAAACAATAATTTARGTTTTTTAAACTCATGTTCATATAGTACAAAGCTACAAGATACCAGTGTTTGAATCAGGTCTCCAAAAACAGGGTTCCTACAGTTTAAGACAAGTTAAATTTAAGAAATTTTAAGACTTTAATTCCAAGGGAAATAAAATTCAAGATCAATTTCACAATAAAAACTGTGGCAGAAACTTATGAATCKAAGTATTTTTGTGGAATTATTCAAATACTGCTAACAGACCAATTGTTTTGATCCATATCTAACTGCTTTTTCAGCAAACATAGCAAAAACATTCTTATCAGTCAGTTTTAAACTTAATTTAAGTCCTGGAAATCCAGTAACGACCTAAAATTTGGAGTTTTAGGACCCACAGTGGGGTCTTAAGCCCAGTTCGCTGTAGATAAAACCTTAAAGTGCATGTGACATAACATTTTTGTAAGAAATATTAATGCATTTTTGGAAAAACAACATTATTAACGTATTACAAAACAAATTTCATGTTGCTCAGAAGGACAGTTGTTGAGATATTTTCATGTGAAATAACAGGAAGTGATGTCAAAGGACAAAAATGCATGTGAATATTTAAAAAAATTATATTATCAATTGTTTTAATATTTGAAATGAATTGCAGTCATCCTATTTACAATGTGTTAACATTTTTAAGACTTCTGAAAGACTGGTTTAAGACATTTTAAGGCTGATTAAGGCCTTATTTTTGGATTGATGAATTCAATGCCTTTTAAGACTTTTTAAGGATCTGCAGGAACCCTGAAAAAGCTATTGAAAGCTTATAGAGGGAGCCCAAGTACTTACAATTTCAAACAGTTTTAATATACTTGTAGTAAGAACACAACAAAAAACATCATACATTCCTCGTACGATTCGTTACACATCCATCAATCAATCAATCAATTACTTACAGGTCTTTCTAGTGGTTTGAGATAAATAAACAAAGCAATTTGGTCTTTAACAGTTTTTTGAAGGTGGAGATGAATTTCAACCCCTTTAAGCTCTCATCCAGCTAGTTCCAGTTCTGTGGGCCACTCCAAGCAAAAGTTTGAGTGGTGATTTTAAGTCTTCTGTTTTTAGCATAGGTGGTTTATTTATTTATTTAATAAGTATGCTGTGGATCACTGATTGGAACAAGCTCAGTCAAACGTTTTGGTAGGTATTTAATTCTGTTAGCCGAAGGAGACCAAAATGATGGACTAGATTGGATTTACATTATACTCAGACCACGACACAGCTCTTATTTTCTTTGAAGGCTTTCAAGTTTCTTGAGATGACTAGAGTAAGTGTTGCACCATATAACGTTACAACTAGGGGTGTCCCGATACCAGTTTTTTCAAGACTGAGTACAAGTACGAGTACTTCAGTTTAGGTACTCGCCGATACCGATACCAAGTAGTGGGGTTAGGGTGGATTATCTGTTCAACTTGTTGAATATTAAACAGAATGAAAATGAAATGCAATTATCATGCAAAAATTGATGGGTAAATATTATGTTTGACAGGAAAAAGGTCTAGTGCGAACTCTGCCAAGTAGATAAGTTGGTATATTTATCACACCATAAC